AAGTAAGGAGCCCAAAAGGGGAGTAGGAACAAGTAGGAGTGAGGTGGGGATGAAATAGGTGCCAGAGGGATTATGAGGAAAGGGAGGCTGAGAAGAGCAGGTGGGTGGGGCCCTCTGGATACTGCGAGCAGGGAGTTATCCTTTCTAGGAAGGGCGTTTCTCCTGTGTAGAAGGACTTCCAGTGTTTGTCCCAGTTGTCTCTCCCTGGGTTGTGGGGGAAGTAAATGTGTGGGAAGAAGAGATGTAGAGTCTAGGACTAGAACTCCTGGTTTTCTTGGAGGGGCTCTTTCTTCCAAGGAGGAAGCAGCAGTGACCCAGCTGTTGCCAGCTGCAGTGGAAATTCTGAGCTCAAAGTCTCAGGCTGCTAGACCACAGCAAGCTCCACCCTGGGGCCTTGATAGGGATAGCAGTATGTGTATCCTCTGGCCTGTAGTCAGACTCCTCAGGAATCCCTCCCTGTGCCTAAATTTGGGAAAGAATCCAAGTATGTAGCCCTGAAGGGCTAGGATAGCCACATCCATCCCCATCCCCAACCCCCTTTTAATGTGTTCTTTTCCCAACCTCCAGGGCATTGCTTGGCTTATTTTGTCTAATCCTTTGAGTTACAGAAGTTCCTCTAAAAAAGTCAGTGAGAGGCCACCAAGGAGCAAAAACAAATGAATCAATCATCATGTGTTCTTTAGGGAAGAGAGAAGAGATTAGGGGAGAAAAAACCAGAATGCTTGTTTGGGGTATTGATCTCAAATTCAGTCCCTGCCAACTGTTTTCACTTATTTCTTACACTTCTGACTTTTTTTTAGTAATTTCTATTTTGTCTCTTTAATATTTTCACCCTTCTGGAATGGAATATAGAGGCTTTTTTCTAGTGGAACACCTCTGATATAGTCCTGATCTGTGATACTCTGCTACTCAGGTTCTGGGAGTATGACTTTATTGCCAAAGTATGATTTTTCAAAAAGTTGAAAAACATGACTGTTATGCAAATATAGAATGAACACATGTCAGAGATTTATTTAACATATTAATAAGGGAACCAGCAGGATGGTAAAATGGATTCAAAGAGCATTTGAAGAACTGAGTATTTATAGGCACTGAAGAAAGAATATTGGAATAAGATTTTTTTTTTTTTTTTTAGACAGAGTCTTGCTTTGTTGCCTAGGCTAGAGTGAGTGCCATGGCGTCAGCCTAGCTCACAACAACCTCAAACTCCTGGGCTCAAGCGATCCTTCTGTCTTAGCCTCCCAAGTAGCTGGGACTACAGGCATGAGCCACCATGCCCGGCTAATTTTTTCTATATATATTAGTTGGCCAATTAGTTTCTTTCTATTTATAGTAGAGACGGGGTCTCGCTCTTGCTCAGGCTGGTTTCGAACTCCCGACCTCGAGCAATCCACCCGCCTCAGCCTCCCAGAGAGCTAGGATTACAGGCGTGAGCCACCGCGCCCGGCCTGGAATAAGATTGCTAGGTTATATAGAAAACTGGTTTATGTCCTACAGGGCAATAAAACCAGTAACCTTTGAGATTATCTTTTCCACCAGGCAGAAATAATTTGCATTTCTACTGGACAAAAATCTACAAGTTGTATCTTCACAAAGTCTGGGCCCTGATCGGTAGTAACTGGTAAGTCAAACAAAGAAACTCCCCTCTAGATGGTGAAATACTCTGTGAATGTGCCTTTTAGACAATGTTCCAGAATGACATTGAAAGGATATACAGTCATGCTTTTGCCTTATTACCAAGTTTTAGAGGACTTTCTTTCTTTTCTTTTCTTTTTATATTTCTCAGACAGGGTTTGGGCCAGGAGTGCAAGTGCAGTTGATCATACCTCACAGCAACCTTAAACTCCTGGTCTCAAACAATCCTTCTGCCTCAGCCTCCCAAGTAGCTGGGACTACAGTTGCTCACCTGGCTAATTTTTTCTACTTTTTGTAGCGATGGGGTCTCACTGTGTTGCTCAGGCTTGTCTCAAACTCCTGACCTCAAGTAATCCTCCCTCCTTAGCTTCCCAAAGTGCCAGGATTACAGGTATGAGCCACAATGCCTGGACAGATTATTTTATTTTATTATTTTTTTGAGACAGAGTCTTGCTTTGTTGCCCAGGCTAGAGTGAGTGCCGTGGCATAAGCCTCGCTCACAGCAACCTCAAACTCCTGGGCTCAAGCAATCCTTCTGCCTCAGCCTCCCGAGTAGCTGGGACTACAGCCATGCGCCACCATGCCTGGCTAATTTTCTATATATATTAGTTGGCCAATTAATTCTTTTCTATTTATAGTAGAGACGGGGTCTTGCTCTTGCTCAGGCTGGTTTCGAACTCCTGACCTTGAGCAATCCGCCCTCCTCGGCCTCCCAGAGTGCTAGGATTACAGGCATGAGCCACCGCGCCCGGCCTGGATGATTTTATTAATACTACTGTTACACTTGATCTTCTTCCCACTCCCCTCCCTAACACACTCAGTCTTGACCATGAGAAATAGAAGTCTTAGAATGACCAGCCTGGGCAACATAGTGAGATCCCATCTCTACAAAAAATTTTTTTAAAAGTTAGCCAGGGGCCAGGTGTGGTGGCTCACGCCTATAATCCTAGCACTCTGGGAGGCCGAGGTGGGCAGATTGCTTAAGGTTAGGAGTTCAAGACCAGCCTGAACAAAAGCGAGGAGCAGGACCCCATCGCTACTAAAAATAGAAAGAGATTAATTGGCCAACTAAAAATATATAGAAAAAATTAGCCGGGTGTGGTGGCGCATGCCTGTAGTCCCAGCTACTGGGGAGGCTGAGGCAGAAGGATTGCTTGAGCCCAGGAGTTTGAGGTTGCTGTGAGCTAGGCTAAGGCCACGGCACTCTAGCCCGGGCAACGAAGTGGACTCTTGTTTCAAAAATAAAATATAAAGTTAGCCAGGCACACTGGTGCATGCCTGTAGTCCTAACTACTTGGGAGGTTAAGGCAGGAGGATCACTTCACTTGAGTCCAAGAGTTCAAGGCTTCAATGAACTGTGATTGATTGTACCACTGTACTCCAGCCTAGGTGACAGAGTGAGACCATGCAGACCCTGTCTCTAAAAAAAAGAATATAGTAAGGCAGAGAGCTAGTAGATTTTAAAGTTGAGGTTCCTTGAATATGACAATAATAGCAATTAAGATTTTCAAGGCCCGTGTGGTGGCTCACGCCTGTAATCCTAGCACTCTGGGAGGCCGAGGCGGGAGGATTGCTCGAGGTCAGGAGTTCGAAACCAGCCTGAGCAAGAGCAACACCCCGTCTCTACTATAAATAGAAAGAAATTAATTGGCCAACTAATATATATAGAAAAATTAGCCAAGCATGGTGGCGCATGGCTGTAGTTCTAGCTACTCGGGAGGCTGAGGCAGAAGGATTGCTTGAGCCCAGCAGATTGAGGTTGCTGTGAGCTAGGCTTATGCCACGACACTCACTCTAGCCTGGGCAACAAAGCAAGACTCTGTCTCAAAAAAAATAAAATAAAAAGATTTTCAGGCCAGGTACGGTGGCTCACGCCTGTAATCCTAGCTCTTGGGAGGCCGAGGCGGGCGGATTGCTCAAGGTCAGGAGTTCAAAACCAGCCTGAGCAAGAGCGAGACCCCGTCTCTACTATAATAGAAAGAAATTAATGGCCAACTGATAATATATAAAAATTAGCCGGGCATGGTGGCGCATGCCTGTAGTCCCAGCTACTCAGGAGGCTGAGGCAGAAGGATCGCTCGAGCCCAGGAGTTTGAGGTTGCTGTGAGCTAGGCTGATGCCACAGCACTCACTCTAGCCTGGACAACAAAGCGAGACTCTGTCTCAAAAAAAAAAAAAAAAAAGATTTTCAAGTGCCAGGCATGATGGCTCATATCTGTAATCCTATCGCTCTGAGAGGCTGAGGCGGGTGGATTGCTCAAGCTCAGGAGTTTAAAACCAGCCTGAGCAAAAGCAAGACCATACTATAAATAGAAAGAAATTAATCGGCCAAATATATATAAATATATATATTATATATATATATATATATATATAAGTAAATAAAATTAGCCGGCATGGTGGCACATGCCTGTAGTCCCAGCTACTTGGGAGGCTGAGACAGTAGGGATTGCTTGAGCCCAGGAGTTTGAGGTTGGTGTGAGCTAAGCTGACGCCACGGCACTCTAGCTTGGGCTCTGTCTCAAAAAAAAAAAAAGATTTTCAAGTGCTTACCATGTGGTAGTCATTAGTGCTTTATATATATTAACTCATTTCATATTCTCAATAATCCCTATTTCCATTTTACAGATGATGAGGCTGAGACACAGAAAGGTTAAATGACTTGTCCAAGATGCTAGAAAGTGGCAGAACCAGAATTTGAACCAAAGCAGTTTGGCTCAGCTTGACCTTCAATCAAGGGGTTAGTCCCAGCTACTCAGAAGGCTGAGGTGGGAGGATCACTTGAGCCCAGGAGTTCAATACTGCAGTGAGCTATGATCATGCCACTGTACATCAACCTGGGTGACAGAGAGAGATCCTGTCTCCTAAAAAAAATAAAAATAAAGGAGTCAGTAAAGGGGTGGGACTGGGGTGTCAAAGAAGAGAAACTTTTATAGTTTTTTCATAGGAGAAATGGTGTTTGTCCAAAAGAAGATAAGTAAAATCAAGGATTATTTTTAGTCCTCAAATTCCAGCCAGAGCTCTGCCTTTACACACTCTGCTATGTGGACATTGCCAGGCTTTTTTCCCAAAAAAGACAGTTGTCTCTTTCCAACTAGTATTGGAGCCTTAGTTGGGAAACAGAAACGTGTTGGTTTTATAAGGTCCGCAGTTACCTTATTTCTTGTAGGCATCTTTAGGGGATAGGTTTATATTAAGGGTGGTATTTTTAATTTATTTCTTTTTCATTTTTATTAAGGTGTGAGTAGGAAGCATTGTCCTAGTGGAAGCACAGAAAGGACATGGATTCATCCAGATGTCTCGATCTCTGTCCTATTCTTAGTCTCTGGCCTCAGATTATCAGTTTGTATTTTCCTCTCCCTTAGATATGGCAAGATTGTTTCCACTAAGGCCATACTGGACAAGACCACAAACAAATGCAAAGGTGAGAGAACAGCTGTCCTTGGTGATAGAGAGCACCAGTGAGTGAGGCCATCCTATACTGCTGAGAGTCCCGAGTGCTAAGGAGGAGTCTCTGGCTTAAAAAATGATTGGATTCCTCAGTGATCAGATAGCTAGAGCTGAAGATGCTGTTTGGAGGATGGGGGACTCAAGGTTAGAAGACTGCACAAAGCACCTTAGAGTCCGCTGGGCTTATTTTAGACTTCAGGTTTCCCTGGATGGGGTGGTGAAGGTGAGTAGGTGAAACTGTTTCTACTTAGCAAAGCAGTGTAAATATCTTTTGGGAAGGGTGACTTGGTAGGTATTATTTTCTGAGGATGAATAGTTTAATTGGGGTTTTGATCAGTTCTTGATGAAGCTGGAAGAGTGGAAGGTGAAGACAAAGTTGGGGTGGGGAGGGGCTCCTTCCACAGGTAGCTGATTATTTGCTCTGGAGAGATTGCATTCCCTTCATGCCTAGCATTTATGGGGCATGTCTAGAAAAGAGGGGAGGGGTTCTTTTAGAGGTATGAAAGGGGCTATGGGTTATTAGAAGAGTCTAGTTCCTGAAACCTCAGATTTCTGAAAGGGGAGGGAGAAAGACAAGAATACTATAGAACCTCATTGTCTTGGCATTCTTAGCCACAAAGTAGAATAAATCTCAGGATTTCAGAAGCACATGGATAACCACCTGAAACCTCTTAATTTCTCTTTCTCCCTACTACTTCTGTTACGTGGATCATAACTCTTCCTCTGTCTCCTGAAAAGCCTGGGCCTACCTCCCTTGCACATCCCACCTCCCAGTGATGCTGTTTCCCTGTTCCAGGCTATGGCTTTGTGGATTTTGACAGTCCTTCAGCAGCACAGAAAGCTGTGACAGCACTGAAAGCCAGTGGTATACAGGCGCAGATGGCAAAGGTAGGAGTAATACCCCATGTCTAGTCCTCTGACAGGTTTGTGGTTAGCACCAAAGTTCTAGTTCCAAGGTTTCCAGAGGGCTTAAGAATCATGAAATTGAATGGTCGAGGAATAACTGCAATGCTTTCTGACTGCGTCTGGCTAAAGACAGTCTGGGCCAGTGTCCATTGATACTGCTGGCTGCTAGAGGAAGATTGTATTCAAAGTCTGTGGCAGGTGGCTCTATCAACTGAGTCATTGGAAGTAGGCAAGAGGGTCAGAAGGCCTCTTGCAGTATTCCTGCTGCTTGTCTGGCCCCACTTCCCTACTGGACAGATTGTGGTCGTTTTGCAACATTCTCTGAAGAAGCCAATTGTGTAACTCAGAAGTTCAGAAAAATGCTGTCCACCTCCCAGTGTTGTCCTCTTTAGGGGCAGGGAAACTACCGCAAGAATGAAACTGTCCCTTCCCAAATCTGTCAGAAGTTTTGGTTTTTACCTAGCCTACTGGAAAGCTTTTTTCTCTCACTTTTGGTAGGTGGGATTTTCCCATTGGCTTTCTGAAGCCATTATGGATACTATGTGCAGAGCTGATGAAGCAGGTTTGCCAGCTACCCTTTTCTGTAATAGTTAAAGAAAAAGGGAACCCTAAAGGAAAATGCAGAAGAAGGATTTAGGTTGCTGGTTACCCACTGTTTAGGGCAGAGTGGCTGCTTAAGTTCTTAAAAATACAACTGTTAGTTGCTGTGAGCTAGGCTGATGCCATGGCATTCTAGCCCGGGCAACAGAGTGAGACTCTGTCTCAAAAAAAAAAAAAAAAAACAACTGTTAGCAAAAAAAAAAAAAAAAATACAACTGTTAGAAGATGCTGCCATTTTGCACATTCTGCCCTCTGGAATGGCTCTTATACCTCTTTCTGGAGTAAAATTCTTTGACAAAAGCTTAAAGGTTTAGGAGCCTTCAGGGTTCCTAGGGGACTAGAGTTCACTGGGTCCATGGTGACCCAGTGAACTACACATTTGGCCCTTTCTCTGGTTCCTTCTCCCCTCTTCCTGCTTTTCCTCCTTCAGAGAGTGAACAGACATTCCTACTCAGAGGATTCTTCGTGGCAGGAAGAGAAGAGGGAGGGGGGATTTCTCAAAACAATCCAGCCAAGGAGCAAGGCAGTCCAAGAGAATTGCAGCCTCTGGGACAGGCTGTGGGGGAGAGGGGGAGCGCTCTGCCTGTTCTTAAAGAGACAGCCAGACACCATTGATGACTTGTATCATGTGCTTGTAGAGTACTAGAAATATTAAATATGCTTTTCTTCTCCCTGGACTCAATGTACAACCTGTGGTAGTAGGACTGGGTATTACAAATAGTTAAGATTCTCTTTGTTTATGTGGGACCTTTCCTACAATCTCTTTTCTGAACTGTCATTTTCTGGATGTGGGCTGAGGGTGGGAGAGGGATAAGGGATGTGAGCCTCATTTTCTCACTTTTATTTCCTTAGCAACAGGAGCAGGACCCCACAAATTTATACATCTCAAACCTCCCACTGTCGATGGATGAGCAAGAACTGGAGGGGATGCTGAAGCCCTTTGGCCAGGTTATCTCCACCCGAATCCTTCGAGATACCAGTGGGACTAGCAGAGGGGTTGGCTTTGCAAGGTGAGAAATGGCAAGAGTGGGACATGATGAGGTTTATAAAAAATGTTATTGGCTGGGCATGGTGGCTCACATCTGTAATCCTAGCACTTGGGAGGCAGAGACAGGAGGAGGATCTCTTGAAGCCAGGAGCTCAAGACCAGCCTAAGCAACATAGTGAGACCCCATCTCTACAAAACATCTTAAAAATTAGCTGAGTGTGGTGTTGCATGCCTGTAGTCCCAGTTACTCTGGAGGCTGATGCAGGAGGATCACTTGGACCCAGGAGTTTGAGCTTACAGTGAGCTGTGATGACACCATTGTACTCTAGCCCAGGCAAAAGAGTGAGACCCTGTCTCAAAAAAAAAAAAAAAAAAAAGTCACTTAGGAGGCCACCAAAAAACAATCTGTGCCTCTCTTCCACAAAAATAACCAAAGTATTGGTAAAAAAAATACTTGATAGTAAATCAAAAGTTTATTTTATTATAGGTTGCAATACTCAAAAAAATCATTAGCCACTAGATTTTTATCCTTTCCCCACTACTTGCTGCTACTCTAGCCTTTGTTCCTTTGATCCAGACCCAACCAGAATAAAATAATTCTGTATATTCTTCTTTTGTTTGTTGTAGATCCAGGGAGACCAACTGGAATAATTCTGTGCATTCTTTTTTATTTTTCATGTCAGGTAACGTGCTGACAATGTAAGAAGGTTTGAGGGAGGCACATCTCACACATGTGCGTGAAAACCTAATCATCATGGTTATGAGATACAAAAAGATCAGTATTCTGTACTGCCCCTGTGACATCAGACATTTATGAGCATTGGTTCATTCTCAGGGTGTTTCCTGGAGCTGCAGTTTCCCAGGGTGCCCTCCTCTGGACTCCAGAATCATTGTTGTAGTGCTTCAGCCTCCTCTTGCCCACTTAAGAAATGGCTCTGCTTTTATTTATTTTAAGATTTTATTTGGGGCACAGTGGCACATGCCAGTAGCCCTACGTACTTGGAAGGCTGATGCTGGAGGGTCTCCTGAGTCCAGGAGTTCAAGGCCAGGCTGGGTAATGTAGTGAGATGCCCATCTCTTTAAAAAAAAAAAAAAAAAAAAAAAAAAGATTTTATTTGAAAGAGGATTATGTTGCATTTTTTTTTTTTTTAGGTTTGAAAACTACTAGACTAAGTGATCTGAGTATCCTTTTTTGTTTTATTAATATATCTTGTCTGGTCCATGAACACAAGGAATAGGTCAGGAGAGAGGAACCTGTTCATGTTGGAAAGGCCGCATTAATTTAGCCGTAATCAAATAAGGCCGCATTCAAGAAACTTCAGTTAGATATACTTAAAAATATACATTATTTTATAAAAATCTACTGTGTACTTAATAATTTTTAAAAATGAAAACTATTTTAAAATTAACTAACCTTTTTTTCTTTTTTTTTTTGAGACAGAGTCTTGCTTTGTTGCCCAGGCAGAGTGAGTCCGTGCGTCAGCTAAGCTCACAGCAACCCTCAACTCCTGCTCACAATCCTTCGCCTCAGCCTCCGGGACTAAGGCATGTCACCATGTCGCTAATTTCGTATATGTATTATTGGCAATTAATTTCTTTATATCGTAAAGAGGACAGGTCTCGCCTTGTCAGCCGCTGTTTAACACTCTTCAGCAATCCTGCCTGCTTGGCTCTCCCAGAGTGCTAGGGATACAGGCATGGCCACTCCCTTCACTTTAATGACTTTTTGTGTCGTGCTTTTTGTTGGAAAGCGCTGATATCTTGCCTGCCATCGACGCTTTCCCCGCTCTCGCTGCATAGTCACTTTTGTACTTAGGCTCTTGATTGGTTAGATAGAAAGTGATTCAAAGCAATAAGTGGTTGAAACAAGAAAGCATTTCAGGCATTTGCTTTTTTTTTTTTTTTGGGGGGGGAATCAGTGACTGACCAGGCATCGCTGCTTTGCGAAAGCAATGGGTTTCTGCAATTCTGCTTTTTCATATTAATTGATCTTTCTAAGCACAAACCAAGTGACTTCAAAATGCCATCTACTGCGAGCTCGTCAATCTATCTGTAGTTTTTTAAGCTTTGTGACACTACCTCGGTGACTTGACTGCTAATAAATACGAGCGTGAATCATGATTCTCATGTCACTTTCTTGTACTTCACTTACATCAGCTATACCGCTTAAATTTTCCAATGATTCACATTCCTGCTCAGTCAACTGACCTTTTCTGCTACCGGGGGAAATTCATTATTTCATTTTAGCGGTGATTTTGAAAGTGCTTCTTTGGAAATGCTCGAATTTTTGCCACATATCATGTACAGACCTATTTGTACTTGTAAACGAAATATTCAATCATTAGGGGCCGGCGGGTGGCTCACGCTTATTATATTTGGGAGGCCACCCGCTCAAGTCAGGAGTTGACCAGCCTGAGCGAGCCGTCTCTACCCAACACATGAATAATTACTTGAACAATAAATATTATACCCAAAAATACCGGGCATGGTGGCAACATGCCTGTAGTCCCAGCTATGAGCGAGGCCGTAGGACATCGCTGCGAGCCCTGGAAGACTGAGGGCTGTGAGCCAGGCTGATCCACGCATCACTCTAGCCTGGCAACGAGTGAGACTCTGTCCAAACCAAAAACCCGAATACTCTCAAGTCCTCTTAATTTGGAATGTCTCACAAGCAACCTGCCACCTTCCTGTAAAAGCGGGGTCTTTCAAAATCCACACATTGCTGATTCTTTCTTCATAATTGGTAACCATCATTTCACAGAGATAATTTGGCTGATACCTTCCCATCGTGATAGTCCACCTGCTTAGACTGATATGAATCCACACTGCGAATATCATCTTATCAACTTTAGTGTGTTACACAAACACTCGAAGATACCCATGTGCTTTGCCAGACATATAGTTTTTTTCTAAGAGCACATAGTGTCACTTGTTGCCGGCTAGTGCCATGCATCCAGCCTAGCGCCACAGCAACCCAACTCTGGGCCTCCAACAGCAGTCTTCTGCTCAAGCCTCCCAAGTATAGGACTACCAGGTCTCGCGCTACCCATCCCAGCTAATTTTTCTATATACCTCTTTACTTCGTCCATGATAACTTTCTTTCTACTTTTTTAATTTGGTTTTTTATTTTATTTTTCTTTTTTTAGACAGCCAGTCTCGCTTTGTTGTCAGGCTAGAGTCGCAGTGCCGTGCGTCAGCCTAAGCTCACAGCAACCTCCAACTCTGGGCTCGAGTGATCCTTCTGCCTCAGCCTCCCGAGTACTGGGACTACAGGCATGCACCACCATGCCCGGCCTAACTTTTTTATATATACTATACTCAGTTGGCCATTTACATTTCTTTCTATTTATAGTAGAGACGGTCTCGTCTTTTTCTTCTTTTTTTTTTTTTTTTTTTTGAGACAGAGTCTCGCTTTGTTGCTGGCTAGAGTGAGTGCGTGGCGTCAGCCCTAGCTCACAGCTAACCTCAAATCCTGGCTCGACTGATCCTTACTGCCTCAGCCTCCGGGCTAGTCTGGACTTACACAACATCGCGCCACATGCCCGGCTAATTTTTATATATATAATCATCAAGTTGGCCAATTAATTCTTTCTATTTATCAGCTAGAGACGGGGTCTCGCTCAGCCTGGTTTTCGACACTCCTGACCTTCGCAGAATCCGCCGCCTCGGCCTCCAAGACTAGGATTACCAGGGGGGTCTCGCTCTGTGCCGGCTGGTTTTGAACTCCTGACCTTGAGCAATCCGCCAGCCTCTGCCTCCCAAGAGCTAGGATTACAGGCGTGAGCCACAGCGCCCGGCCATCTTTCTACTTTTTTAGTAGAGACTGGATCTCACTCTTGCTCAGGCTGGTCTCGAGTTCCTGACCTCGAGCAATCCTCCCGCCTTGGCCTCCCAGAGTGCCAGGATTACAGGCGTGAGCCACCACGCCCTGCAAGAATATAGTTAACAATACTTATAACTTCTTGGGAAGTGTCACTTAAAATAGTAGCTTTAGCACAGATTTTGCTGATGCAAAATATCATCAAAGAAATGACAGCATCTGTATCTGTTAATAGGTTTTTTATCTGTGCAATAAACCTTTCATGTTTTCCTGTCATGGAAGGTACACCATCTGTACAAACATCACTAAATTTACCAAATTTAGTACAACTTCACGACATTTATCTTGAAAGTTGTTAAAGATATCTATTCCTCATGTTCTGTTTGTAGGAATGCCCAAGTGAGTAACTCTTTGTACCAAAGAAAATCTTCTGTTATGACCTGAATGAAGTATTAATATAAAACCTGCACCAAGTCAGTAGCATCAGTTGATTCATCCAAAGTGATTGAATAATGGATATGTTCCTTTTGAAGTATTACATGAAATTGTTATGTTAGTTGAAGGCTAATTCATGCTGCTGATCAGTTATGCATCTCCTTGAAGAAGGCAGTTGTTTGTACTTTGAAACATTATTAGAGTCTAAGCATCCCACAACTTCCACAATGCATTCTTTCATAATTTCCACATCACTGACTGCATGGCTTCCCCTTTTCCCCCAGTGTATAAGCTGCTTTATAAGTTGCTTCAGTGGCATTATTTCCAGGTCTTTATTGCTGCTTGAAAGAATTGTCTTTGCTTCTGCTTTTCATCTTTTAACATCTGCAGTACAACTTTTCATGCCTCTTCCTCTAATTTAAAAGATTTGTGGGCCAGGCGCAGTGGCTCACGCCTGTAATCCTAGCACTCTGGGAGGCCGAAGCAGGCGGATTGCTCCAGGTCAGGAGTTCGAAACAGCCTGAGCAAGAACGAGACCCCGTCTGTACTAAAAATAGAAAGAAATTAATTGGCCAACTAAAAATATATAGAAAAAATTAGCCAGGCATGGTGGCTCATGCCTGTAGTCCCAGCTACTCGGGAGGCTGAGGCGGAAGGAGTGCTTAAGCCCAGGAGTTTGAGGATGCTGTGAGCTAGGCTGATGCCATGGCACTCTAGCCCGGGCAACAGAGTGAGACTCTTCTTAAAAAAAACAATGAAAAGATTTG